CCGCTCCCAAACGCCATCTCCTCCTCTCCTAGCCAAGGTCTCTGGCCCGAAGGGCCCTCCTCGCCTTGCGTCGTTCTTCCCGGCCCCCATCCTGGGCTTTCGTGCCTGGCCCTCCCAAGTCAGCCCGCCATTTGTCCCTATGTCATCTCAACCCCTTCCTCTTGCCACTGCCCTTTGTTTAACGCAGTGCCCCACACGCTTCGTCGTGTCAGTTCCCATCCCCGTCCTTTCTGTCATTAACGACCCACTTTCACCAATTTCTGCCACACACCCGCACCCCCACCCTTTGGTTTTCCTCTGTCCTTGCTGCCTCTTTTCCCTCCTGGCTTTCTTGGGGCTCTACTGGCCCTGTAAAGTCTGAAGTTTTGTTTTGTTTAAAGAGAAGTTCTTTGAACCTCCTGAATGCTTAACCATCCCTCCACCCCTTAAGTGGCCTGGAGAAGAGAAGCACTGTTTTCTGGGTTTTCCTTGTGAGGACAGGCAGTTGCACTTTGACCTTGCAGCATTTATTCGTTGACTCCTCGCCATTACCCTGCTTGCGAGGCCTGCATACGCCATTTGATTTAGAGCCCATAATTGATAGCACTGTTGCTTTTGTGGCTTGCAGATTGGCACAGAAACGAGGGGACAATGATGAGGGAAGCCCAAGTGGCACAAATGCCGAAGCTCCCTCTGGTGATGATTTCAGGTAAAAAACCATAACCCGTGCATGTGCCTTTATCTTCCCTGTATCTCTGGCCTGTAGATGTCAGCAGGTACCTTATTTCCCTAGGGGTTTTCCGTATCAAGCCATGAATTCCTCCCGTCCCCTAGGAATCTCATCCTGATTTCCTGACTTGCTTATTCATTCAAGGCCGCGGCAGATCCAAATATTGATAAAGTCCCTGGTGATTAGCCAAAGAGAATTATTCTGTTTCTAGATTGGAATGCCAGTAAAATATTCAATATCATATTGCTGTTTAGAAATGTAATGCACAGCATGGTGACTATAGTTAGTGATAATATACTGTAATCTTGAAAAATACTAAGAGAGCAGATGTTCTCATCACAAAAATGATAACTATGTGAAGTAATACCTATGTATATTAGCTAGATTTAATCATTCAACTGGTTTTCATACTTTAAAACATCATATGTGATAAAGACATACCGTTTTGTCAGTTAAAAAAATAAACCGGGCTCGGTGGCTCAGCCTGTAATCCCCTGCTTTAGGAGGCTGAGGTGAGTGGATTGCCTGAGCCCGCGGATTCGAGACCCGCCTGGGCAACTTGGCGAGACCTCATTTCTACAATAAATAAAAAATTATCTGGGCGTGGTAGCACACGTTTATAGTTCCAGCTACTTGGAAGGCTAAGGAGGAAGGATCGCCGGAGCCCAGCAGGTTGAGGCTGCAGGGGCCAGGAGCGGCCACTGCACTCCAGTCTGGGCGACAGAGTGAAACTCCAACTCAAAAAAAATAAAAAATATATATATAAATTTGAGGACAAATTTAAAGTCCTACTTTTTCCCCTTTGAATATTCTTTTTTTTTTTTTAAGTTGAGGTCTTACTCTGTCACCCAGACTGGAGTGCAGTGGCACAATCATGGTTCGCCACAGCCTCAAACTCCTAGGCTCAAGCAGTCCTCCCTCATCAGCCTCCTGGGCAACTGGTACTACAGGTATATGCTACCATACCAGGCTAATTTTTAAACTTTTTGTAGAGATGAGATCTCATTATGTTGCCCAGGCTAGTCTCAAGCTCCTGGGCTCAAGCAATGCCTTGGCCTCCCAAAGTACTGGGATTGCTGGTTGAGCAACTGTGCCCAGCTGAATATTCTTTTTTTTAGATTGGAAAATATAGTTTATTTAAAAACTAAATGAGAGAGAGAGACAGAAGAGATTCACCTCCCCAAGGTAGGGGAGTGGGCCAAGGCTAGGAAATAATGGCAACCGTGCTCAAGGAGCCACATGGTCAGATGATGGTTTAGCAAAGCAATGACCTGAATATTTTTTAGTAGCTCCTCTCCCACACACTAGAATATAAACCCCAGGACAGAAGGAGTTGTCGCTTTTGTTCATTGATGTCTCCCTACCTTGACCCTTGAGTGGTGCTTGTCATGGGATAGACAGTTGATATATATTTATGAAATGAATGAATGAATGTATCTTGCCACTTGATGCAAAATGAGGTATAATACAAAAATGTTGTGTTCACTGAGTGGATAGAGGGTGATTAAAGGAATTTTTTGGGTGTCCAAACAGTATTGTCAATACATATCTCTCTATATGTGTTTTTTAAAGTCTTCATCTTTTAGAGATACATAGTGATAAATGTATGGATGAAATGATATGATGCTTGGGACTTGTTTCAGAATAATCTGGGAGGTGGTGGTGGGAGGGACAGCATGGGTGTACAGATGAAGCAAGAGACTGGGCATGATAGCTCATACTTGTAATCCCAGTGCTTTGGGAGGTCAAGGCAGGAGGATTGCTTGAGGCCAGCAGTTCAAGACTAGCTTGGACAGCATGACAAGACCCCATCTCTACACAAATAAAATGATTAGCCTGGTATAGTGGCATGTGCCTATAAGTCCCAGCTATTTAGGGGGGCTGAGGTGGAAGGATCTCTTGAGCCTAGGAACTTGAGATTGCAGTGAGCTATTATCTTACCACTGCATTCCAGCCTGGGGGACGAAGGGACATCCTGTCTCAAAAAAAAAAAAAAAAAAGATTCACTGTGAGATGATAACTGTTGAAACTGGGTGGTGGGTACATGTGGGCTCATTATACTGCTCTCTTTACTTTATATTTTATGTGTTTGAAATTTTCCATAATATAAATTAAAACAAAAGACCTGGAGAAGTATTGGGTTTATATTATCTCTTGTGAAGTTTGGTGATAGAAGATCTTTTCTTTCTGCATATTCAAGTTATAATTTCTGTTTATATTCTAATCTAAATAAAACTGAAAATTTGATTTTTCCTCAAAAAGGGATACTGAGCTGGTGTGTTCATTCATGGGTAGTAGGTGGTGGAGGACTGAAGAAAGAGGAAGAAGCACAAAACGGAAGAGAAGAGTGAGTGAACCAGAAAAGGCAGTGATTGATAGCTGGGAGGAGTTAGGGCCCACTTGAGGTTAGTGATCATTAATTTACAATGATCTTTGACTGGGTTTTTATTTTTATTTTATTTTATTTTATTTTATTTTTTGAGTCGAAGTCTCATTCTGTTGCCCAGACTGGAGTGCAGTGGCCGCTCCCGGCCACCGCAGCCTCGACCTGCTGGGCTCCGGCGATCCTTCCGCCTCCACCTTCCAAGTAGCTGGAACTACAGGCGTGCGCTACCACGCCCTGCTCATTTTTTATTTATTGTAGAGATGAGGTCTCACCAAGTTGCCCAGGCAGGTCTCAAAGTCGCGGGCTCAGGCAATCCACTCACCTCAGCCTCCCAAAGGCGCAGTATTACAGGCTGAGCCACCGAACCCGGCTAATCATGGAATTTAAGCTGAGTAAGGAGGGAAGTGAGATGAGAAACTTGAGGGACTGCAAAAAAGAGATAGGGTCAGTGGGTTGGGCGTTACAGTGGAGTCACAGTACTGAAGAGAATGAGCTGGAAAGATAGGATATTCAAAGTGTTTGATGAGGTAGATCATACCTGGTGACGTGCATTCCTAGAAGCCTCACCATATAGACAGCTTCCTCAAGTTCTTTTTTTTTTTTTTGAGTTGGAGTCTCACTCTGTCGCCCAGACTGGAGTGCAGTGGCACGCTCCCAGCCACCGCAGCCGTTACCCACTGGGCTCCGGTAATCCTTCCGCCTAAGCCTTCCAAGTAGCTGGAACTACAGGTGCGCACTACCACGCCCGGCTAATTTTTTTTGATTTATTGTAGAGATGAGGTTTCGCCAAGTTGCCCAGGCAGGTCTCGAACCTGCAGGCTCAGACAATTCACTCACCTCGGCCTCCCAAAGCATGGGATTACAGGCTGAACCACCGAACCCGGCCTCCTCAAGTTCTTAAAAGAGACCCTGCTTGGTACCCTTCCGTCTGATTTGCAGGTGTAAATGCATTAGTCCACTGGTAAGGAATGTGTGTCTCATTTGTCTAGCCTCTCCTTGGCGGATACTAATCTACCATCTGAAGTGGAGCCAGAGCTGCGCAGTTTCATTGCTAAGCGTCTTTCAAAGGGAGCAGTCTTTGAAGGGCTGGGTAATGTTGCATCTGTGGAGCTGAGGTAAGTGTAAAATGTGCTGTGTTCTGAGTTTTTATTTCTGAGCTAAATATGAGAAGTGATGAGAAACTTCAAAACTAGCTCCTGGTAGACCTGTAGAATTTATCTTTGTTCTCTGACAGCCTGAGTGCTGGGGCTTACATGTAAACATGTGGAATAGCAGAGACCGACACCTAACTATATTTAATAAGTTTAATGCTTGAAAGAATAGAATTAATTACTAAATTTAAAATTGTATACTTAACTGTAAAGTGCTTTCACAAACTTTTTTTTTTAGTCAGAGTCTCACTCCGTCACCCAGGCTGGAGTGTAGTGACACTCACAGCCACCCCAGTGTCAACCTGCTAGGTTCTGGAGATCCTTCAACTTTAGCCTTCCAAGGAGCCAGAACTTCAGGTGCATGCTACCATGCCCCGCTAATTTTTCCATTTATTGTAGAGACAAGGTCTCGCCAAGTTGCCCGTGCTGATTTTGAACCTGTGGGCTCAGGCAGTCCTTTCACCTTGGCCTCCCAAAGTGCTGGGATTACAGGGTTGAGCCACCACGCCCAGCCTTTTCACAAACTTTTTTTGTTTTTGTTTTTGTTTTTTTTGAGTTGGAGTCTCACTCTGTCCCCAGACTGGAGTGCAGTGGCCACTCCCAGCCACTGCAGCCTCGACCTCCTGGGCTCCGGTGATTCTTCCGCCTCAGCCTTCCAAGTAGCTGGAACTACAGGCGCGTGCTACCACGCCCAGCTAGTTTTTGATTTATTGTAGAGATGAGGTCTCGCCAAGTTGCCCAGGCGGGTCTCGAACCCGTGGGCTCAGGCAATCCACTCACCTCAGCCTCCCAAAGGCCCGGGATTACAGGCTGAGCCACCAAGCCTGGCTTAATTTATTTTTTTAATTTATTGTAGAGACGAGGTCTCACCAGGTAGCCCAGGCTGGTCTCGAACCCCTGGGTTTAGGCAGTCTTCTTGCCTCAGCCTCCCAAAGTGCTGGGATTACAGGTTTGAGCCACTGCACCTGGCCAATTTTTTAATTTATTGTAGAGACGAGGTCTTGCCAAATTTCCCAGGCTGGTCTCGAACCCCTGGGCTTAAGCAATCCTCTCGCCTCTGCCTCCCAAAGTGCTGCGATTACAGGCATGAGCCACTGCGCCTGGCTGGAGTTTAGTGTTAAAGATAGGCGTCTTGGGAGGCTGAGGTGAGTGGATTGCCTGAGCCCGCGGATTCGAGACCCACCTGGGCAACTTGGTGAGAGTTCATCTCTACAATAAATAAATAAAAAAATTAGCCGGGCATGGTAGCGCGTGCCTGTAATTCCAGCTACTTGGAAGGCTGAGGCAGAAGGATCGGCGGAGCCCAGCAGGTCGAGGCTGCAGTGAACGGGAGCAGCCACTGCACTCCAGTCTGGGCGACAGAGTGAGACTCCAACTCAATAAATAAATAAATAAATAAAATAAAGATAGGCATCTTCAGTCCAATTTCAGTCATCTTTCCATTGATTATAGTTCAACTCAGACCATGATATTGACATACAGGTCCCCTCAGGAGAATGAGGCCATGACCCTAGGATAAGACCATAGAATAAACTAGGCACATCTGCCTGAAGCATTAATAATTTGTGAAGGTTTGGGAGCAGGGAGAAAATGCTTTTGCTACTAATGTAAAGTTGGGTATACTATGAATGAGAGTGAAATGTATGTGAATTTTTCATATAAAACAGGATAATTCAAATTTCATGTATATTACTGACTGCCTTAACAAAAACTCACCAGGATATACATGCATTTTCTTCTGCTGCTACGAGTAAACCAACAAGAAGTGGGCAGCTTAATGATATTGCCAGATCAGGATGACCAGGGTTCAGAGCAGCCCGCAAAATTAGATGCCGGGGTTACCTAAATAATACATTTTACCTTTTTTGTTTCTAGAATTCCAGGTTACCGAGTTGGTTGTTATTACTGCCTTTTTCAACAAGAAAATCTGCTTCCTGAAACAACAACAATGGACTCTGAACATAACCCTTCAGAGTATGTGGTCTGTTTTTTAGGAGGGTCTGAAAAAGGTCTTGAGCTATATCCTTTCTCTGGTCTTTGAGGACAGGAAAACCTGGGAAGTTAAGTAGAGGAGTATATCTACCAACCTCCATACAACAAAACCCTTATATATTCACTCGAATTTCATACTTTCATGGGGCCGTTTTGCCTTAGCATGTTTTCTTTTTTTTTTTGAGTTGGAGTCTCACTCTGTCACCCAGACTGGAGTGCAGTGGCCACTCCCGCCCACCGCAGCCTTGACCTGCTGGGCTCCGGCGATCCTTCCGCCTCAGCCTTCCAAGTAGCTGGAATTACAGGCATGCGCTACCATGCCTGGCTGATTTTTTGATTTATTGTAGAGATGAGGTCTTGCTGCCCAGGCGGGTCTTGAACCCGCGGGCTCAGGCAATCCACTCACCTCAGCCTCCTAAAGGCGCGGGATTACAGGCTGAGCCACCGAGCCCGGCTGCCTTAGCATGTTTTAACTTACAGTTGCTTTATTTGAGAGATTTTATGTTTCCTAATGAGAGAGAAAACACTGTCTTGATTTGATTATTCATCCTTTATTGCTTCCTTAAGAACATACTTTCAGGCTTGAATTGGACAAGTATATTCAAGGGCTGAAAAATAACATGAACTGTGAGGTAAGATGACTGATTTAATAATTTTTTAAAGACTGAAATGATTAACATACTGCAATTGCTATACTTGTCAATTCATATAGATAGACACAAAGACACCTATATTCTAGAAACTTGCTACCTTGAGAGCTAGTAGATAGGTAATTATGTGTGGGGGAGGGGACAGGGTCTCACACGTGTGTGTGTGTGTGTGTGTGTGTGTGTGTGTGTGTGTGCGCATGTGAGAGTAAGACAGGGTCTCACTCTGTTCCCCAGGCTAGAGTGCAGTGGTGCAATCATAGCTCACTATAGCCTTACAACACCTGGGCCCAGATGATCCTTCTGCCTCAGTCTCCCAAGTATGTGAAACAACAGGTGTGTGCCACCGTGCCCAGCTAAGTTTTTAATTTTTTGTAGAGACGGGAGGGTCTTGCTATGTTGCCCTGGCTGGTCTTGAACTCCTGGCCTCAAATGATCCTCCCTCCTCCCGCCTTGGCCTCCAGAAGTGCTGGGATTATAAGTGTGAGCCACGATGCCCAGCATAATGTTTTATATTTATGAAAAATTCAACATATTAAATTCAGTGACATATAGTAACATGTCTAGTGAAGAAGAAGATGTCCTTTTCCTGATTTCTAGGCACATAAGATTTATAGTCTAGTCAGAACTAATGGTCCATGCAGCATCTGGCACTAAAGACATGCTATATAGCAGCATGGCTGTCCTTGAATTCAATATCAGAGATTCTTAGAAACATTCCATTTTCATTAATTGGTTGTTTATGAATTAGATCTATCCATATCACCTAATTTGTGTAAACCTTTTTTTTTTTTGAGTTGGAGTCTCACTCTGTCGCCCAGGCTGGATTGCAGTGGCATCCTCACGGCCACCACAGCCTCTACCTGCTGGGCTTCAGCGATCTTTCCGCCTCAGCCTTTCAAGTAGCTGGAAATATAGGCCCACGCTACCACGCCCGGCTAGTTTTTGATTTATTGTAGAGACGAGGTCTCGCCAAGTTGCCCAGGCTGGTCTTGAACCCGTAGGCTCAGGCAATCCACTTGCCTCAGCCTCCCAAAGTGCTGGGATTACAGGCTGAGTCACCAAGCTCAGCCATGTATAGACCTTTTTAAAATGATTCTTTCAGCTTGCTGCGGTTGTTAATGTCATGACTCAGAAATTTACTATCCATTACATATAGTAATAGCTTTAAAAAAAAAACAACAACTTTTCATGTACTTAGAAGATACTACAGGAGAGAGGAAAGAACCATGTAGGAGTGAGTCAGGAATGCAAGTCTGGGGGAGCCGTTCTCCCAGACTGGAGCTCTTCCTGTGTGACACTAGTTTCCAGAGAACAGCACAGCCTCGCAAGCCAGACACTTTCATGGTAGCATGACTGGGGGAGCTGGAGTGCTTTGATGAGTCACTTGTATCCTTCCCTATTCACATTTTGAATACAAACGGATTCTGTCTACATTCCTTCAGTCATTCAGTAGGCTCTTAATACGCTCATACTGTGCATGTTTTAGACACTGTGTCAAGTACTGGAAAATGAAGATTATTAAGAGAGTATCTCCAATCAGTGTGCAGTGTAGTAGGAGGAGACGAACACATAAATGCCCAACTCCTCCCAGTGAAGAAATAGAATGGAACTCTTAATTTAGTCTCTCCTTTTTATTTATTTATTTATTTGAATCAGAGTCTCTGTCACCCAGGATGGAGTGCAGTGGCATGCTCATGACCACTGTAGCCTCTACTTGCTGGACCCAGGCAATCCTTCCACTTCAGCCTTCCAAGTAGCTAGAACTGCAGGCGTGTGCTACCATGCATGGCTAATTTTTTGGTTTATTGTAAAGATGAGCTCTCACCAAGTTGCCCAGCCAGTCTTGAGGCTCAGGCAATTCTCTCACCTCCACCTCCCAAAGTGCTGGGATTACAAACATGAGCCACCGCATCCAGCTCAGTCTCCTCATTTTATATAATGCATTGTGTGTGTGTGTGTGTGTGTGTGTGTTGAGTTGGAGTCTCACTCTGTCACCCAGGCTGGAGTGCAGTGGTATACTCATAGCCATCGCAGCCTTGACGTGCTGGGCTCAGATGATCCTCCCATCTAAGCCTTCCAAGTAGCTGGAACAACAGGCATGTGCTACCATGCCTGGCTAAAGTCTTTTTTTGTTATTATTTATTATAGAGACCAGGTCTTGCTAAGTTGCCCAGGCTGGTCTTGAACCCCTGGGCTCAGGCAATTCTTTCACCTCTGCCTCCTAAAGTGCTGGGATTACATGTATGAGCCACCGTGCCCAGCTTCTTGGTATGTTTTAAAGAAATTTGGTACAGAATTAATCTTCACTCTGTCCAACAAGCCCAGGAAAAACCACACCACTATTCCTTTTTTTGAGTTGGCAGCATTAGTTTAAAAAAGGAGGTATCTGTCCCGGTTCTTTTTGCCATCAAGAGTATGGCCCAGTACTAAGTTAACTAAGGTGAAGGCTTACACAAAAGCAAATGACATTCTTTCTTGGTCTAGGAAAGGGGCTTGGAGAACAACACAAAGCCCTATCTGTGCAGCTGGTTCGAGGATGTGGTATGCCCAATCCAAAGGGTTGTTCTTCTCTTTCAGGAAAAGCTTACATATCTGCTACATGCCGTAAGTATTATTCAAATACGAGCATTTCCAGAATTGAGAACCACTTTGGTACAGTTTAGATTATTTAAAGACATACTCATTTTCTTTTCTTTTTTCTTTTTTGAATCAGAGTCTCACTCTGTTGCCCAGGCTAGAGTACAGTGGCACAATCAAGGCTTACTGCATGCCTCAACCTTCTGGGCTCAGGTGATCCTTCTGTTTCAGCTTCCCAAGTCGCTGGGACTATAGACACACACCACCATGTCCCTGTAATTTTCTTGTAGAGACAAGGTCTTGCTGTGTTGCCCAGGCTGGTCTTAAACTCCTGGGCTCAAGTGATCCTGCCTTGGCCTCCCAAAGTGCTGGGATTACAGATGTGAACTACCACATCCAGCTGATTTTCTGTGAACATTTCTTTTTCTCCTGAATATTCACTTAACCTATGCTTGCTATCAGGGTGAAACATACTTTATTTTCTCAGATCTTGCAAGTTATATTGCTAGGGTAAAGTTGAATTGCAAATGCTGTCTGAGTCTTTCTAATAAGATAAAACTTTTGGGGGGTTTCACTCTGTCTCCCAGGCTACAGTTCAGTGGCACAACCATAGCTCAGCACAGCCTGGACCTCCTGGGCCCAGGTGATCATTCCGCCTCAGCCACCCGAGTAGCTGGGACTGTAGGCATGTACTGCAACTCCCAGCTAATTTTTAAAAAATTTGTTGTAGAGACAAGGTCTTGCTATGTTACCCAGGCTGATCTCGAACTCCTGGGCTCAAGCAGTCATCTTGCCTTAGCCTCCCAAAGTGCTAGGATTACAGGTGTGAGCCATCATGCCTGGCCTGGATAAAACATTGTTAAATAATTACTCTTCGAAGTGATCTGGGAGAGGTATAATTTCCAAAGCAACTTGAAAATAAATCCATAGCGATTTTAACTATATAAAAATGTTAGTGAGCAGCTGCTGAAGAAGGCTATCTCTCAAGAGCTCGTGGGCAGTGCCCATCAAATGTCATTTGGTGTGGTAGTTATTGGGGAAGGTGACATGTAGTCATAAGTAGCTTAAGGAAAACTGGTACCACTGGGCATGATGGCTCATGCCTGTAATCCCAGCACTTTGGAAGGCAGAGGCAAGAGGATTGCTTGAGCCCAGGGGTTCGAGACCAGTCTGGGCAACTTGGCGAGACCTTGTCTCTATAATAAAATAAAATAAGCCAGGTGTGGTCGTGTGTGCCTGGATTTCCAGCTGCTTGGAAGGTTGAGGAGGAAGGATCACCTCAGCACAGCAGATCGAGGCTATGGTAGCTATGAGTGTGCCTCTACACTCCAGCCTGAGTGAGAATGAGACTCTGACTCAAAAAAAATTAATTAATTATAATAAGGAAAACTGGAATACGTATGTCAGTCAGGTTTATTTTTCTCTCATAGGCTTTGAGTTATACTCCTGTTGAGGTTAAAGACTCAGATGAGAAAACAAAGAGAGACATTAACAGGTAAAGAACGTAGTTTTTGCCAAGAGAAAACCTTTTCTACAATAAGCCTGCCTTCTAACTTTTTAGTCCTGTCCCTCCCCAGCCCCCTCTCCCAGTGCAAAATGAATATTTTTCTCCCTCCTGTCTGCAGTATTGTTTGTGGAAATGGACTTGTGTGTGTGGCAGGTTTCTGAGTGTGGCCAGTCTTCAAGGACTGATTCATGAAGGCACCATGACTTCTTTGTGCATGGCCATGACGGAGGAGCAACATAAGTCTGTGGTCATCGACTGTAGTAACTCCCAGCCTCAGGTCTACAATGCAGGTGAGCTGTAACCTCTGAGGCAGCCTTCCTAGATCTCTTGTGAGTCTCCATCTTTGCACTGAGAGCAAATGATACAAACGTATTCTTCCTGTCTTGTGCAGTTTTACATGGTTACCTCAAACTTGCCGAAAGCAAAAGTAATTCTAGAAACAAGGAAATCATATCAGCAATTCCATTCCTAGGTAGATAAAGAAATTCTTGTGTGTGTACCTAAGAAGACAAATAAAAAATGCTCATAGCCGGGCATAGTGACTCAGCACTTTGGGAGGCGGAGCCGAGAGGATTGCCTGAATTCTAGGGTTCAAGACCAGCTTGGGCAACTTGGTGAAACCTCGTCTCTACAATAAATTTTTTTTTTTTTTGAGTTGGAGTCTCACTCTGTCGCCCAGACTGGAGGGAGTATAGTGGCCGCTCCTGGCCACCGCAGCCTCGACCTGCTGGGCTCCGGCAATCCTTCCACTCAGCCTTCCAAGAAGCTGGAACTACAGGCGTGCGCTACCACACCTGGATAATTTTTTTTTTATTTATTGTAGAGATGAGGTCTTGCCAAGTTGCCCAGGTGGGTCTCGAACCCTCAGGCTCAGGCAGTCCACTCCCAAGGCGCGGGATTACAGGCTAATTTTTTTTTAAAAAGGCCAGGCTTGGTGGCGCACACCTATAGTTCCAGCTACTTGAAAGGCTGAGGAGGAAGGATCACCTGAGCCTAGCAGATCGAGGCTGTGATGGCTGTGAGTGTGCCACTGTACTCTAACCTGGGTAATAGAGGGAGACTCATACTCCAAAAAAAAAAAAAGCTCAAAGTCATTATTTGAAAAAGTAGGCCAGGCTCAGTGGTTCATGCTGTAATTCCAGCACTTTGGGAGGCAGAGGTGAGAGTATTGTCTGAGCCTATGGGTTCAAGTTCAGCCTGGACAACATGGCTGGGTGTGGGGGTGCACACTTGTAGTTCCAGCTACTTGGAAGGCTGAGGTGGAAGGATCGCCTGAGCCAAGCAGGTCGAGGCTGTGGTGAGCAGCGTGCCACTGCACTCCAGCCTGGGCAACACTCAAAAAAAAAGAAAAAGAAAAAGAATTGGAAGCAACTTAAATACATATCAACAGGAAAATTGATAAGCTGCTGCATTCATGCAGTGGACTAGTGGAGAGCAGTGAAAATGAGTGGACAAGAGCTACATGTATCAGTATAGCTCTCTAATGACTGTTCAGGAAACAACCATAAGAAAAGACAAAAGTTTTAACATGTGCAAAATAATACAGATAAGACTTACAGATACAAAGGTATGTGGCAAAAGTTTAAAGCTCTATGTGGAAATGATAATCCTTTGTGATGGGAAAGGAGGGGGATGTGACTGGAGGGACATACGGGGGCTTCAGCCATTTTGGTATTTCTCAGCCATGTGGTGAGCATGCAAGTTTTTTTAGACTATTACAGAAGTCTTAAATAATTCATTATGTTTTTATAAAGAAATAAATGAATTATGCTTTTTCATTTTATTTATTTAATCTCTCTAAAATACTTTGTAGGAAGCAACCGGTTTTGTGAGGATTGGATGCATGCTTTTTTAAATGTTGCTGAAGGGGGCAACCCTTTTCTTTTCCGACAAGTACTGGAGAACTTTAAACTAAAGGTAATTAGTTGGCTGTGTTCCAGGTGCCACATAATATTTTTGTCTGAATTTTAATTAGTACCAGTGACAGAGTAACAAATCTGCTTTATAGCTTTAATGTCTGTTAATTAGGATGTTCTCAAAACTGGAATAATCAGAAGTCATTTGCTTTATTTTAATTTTTCTGTAGCTTCTACATATATCATTTCCAATAAATGGGGCTGCGTGTTTGCTTATAATTAATAAGTGACATCAGTCTTGCAATTTGTGATATATCTTAGTTGCAAAGCACAAAAAATGGTTCCATGCTTAAGGGTTCAAAATTCTGATAGGAAGGCGTTGCCACCTTATTTAGATTTAAAAAGTATTATTACTTTATTTTCTTCTACCAAGAGCAAATCATATTAGCAGTTAAAATTTTGAAAATATTTAAAAAGCAAACATTGGCCGGGCTCCGTGGCTCAGCCTGTAATACCAGAGCTTTGGGAGGCTGAGGTGAGTGGATTGCCTGAGCCCATGGGTTCAAGACCCGCCTGGGCAACTTGGTGAGACCTCATCTCTACAATAAATCAAAAACTAGCTGGGCGTGGTAGTGCGTGCCTGTAGTTCCAGCTACTTGGAAGGCTGAGGCAGAAGGATTTCCGGAGCCCAGCAGATCGAGGCTACAGGGGCCAGAAGTGGCCACTGCACTCCAGTCTGGGTGATAGTGTGAGACTCCAACTCAAAAAAATATAAAAAATAAAAATAAATAAAAATAAAAAGCAAACATCTCAGCAACATATGTTGATTCTCAGCTGGATAGGAGATATTTTTAAAGCTTCATTATTGTCTCTCTAAATACTTATTTAACTGGGTAATCTTTTTCTAGGCCATACAAGACACAAATAATTTGAAGAGATATATCCGACAGGCAGAAATGAACCACTATGCTTTGTTTAAATGTTACATGTTCCTAAAGAACTGTGGTAGTGGAGATATACTTTTGAAGATTGTTAAAGTGGAACACGAAGAAATGCCTGAAGCCAAAAATGTGGTGGCTGTCCTTGAAGAATTCATGAAAGAAACTCTTGCCTAAAGTTTTTGATCATATGTTTTCTGATAATCGTATCACGATGTTGTATTTTCAAGTCTCACTGTTTGAAATTGCAGTTGTTATAATTCTTAGGCTTGCTATTTAAGATTATTTGACACTCATTCCAGATTTTTTCTTTTTGTACTTTAAAAGTTTAACTTAAACAAAAATCTATCTTTACACATAGATAGATTTGTGTGTTAGAATTGTGGAATTTTAGTATATATATCACTGGTCCCATAAATTCTAAACTTCAGGAAGTTTTACTGAAAAAACTTCAGATGTACTTTTATATGTGACTTATCTAGGGAGTTAGCTGTGGTAGTTAGCAATTTTTCTTCCCAGAAAAATCATAATACTTCTTTCTCAATAAATTGTAACTGCTGCTGCTGCTGCTTTTTTTTTTTTAAAGAATCCTAAGCCGGGCTTGGTGGCTCAGTCTGAATCGCGCACTTTGGGAGGCTGAGGTGAGTGGATTGCCTGAGCCCGTGGATTTGAGACCTGCCTGGGCAACTTGGCGAGACTTCATCTCTACAATAAATAAAAAAATTATAGCCGGGCGTGGTAACGCGCGCCTGTAGTTCCAGCTACTTGGAAGGCTGAGGCGGAAGGATCGCCGGAGCCCAGCAGGTTGAGGCTGCAGTGGCCGGGAGCGTGTCACTGCACTCCAGTCTGGGCAACAGAGTGAGACTCCAACTAAAAAAAAAAAAAAAAAAGAATCCTAGCCTTAGGACAGATTAGTATCACCATGCCAATTCAGAGACAGATCAGTGCGTCCTGCAGGTACCTGATACATTTTTTGTTTGATAGTAGCATGGATGATAAAACCAGATTTTAAGCCAATATGTAAATAAATCATGAGTGTGTAAGAAATGACAAGAGCTATAAGAATAGAGGCCCTAGCTTCAAGGTACAACATGATTTCTGATAGAAGCTACTGCAGAGGTGGCCCCGTCACTACTTTTGTTGTTCATTTGTTTCCAGGTTTTTGCCAAGATACCCTATATTTTCTTTCTTTTCTTTTCTTTTTTTTGAATAGGAGTCTCACTCTATCACTCAGGCTGGAGTGCAATGGCACGGTTATGGCCACCACAGGCTCCATCTGCTGGGCTCAGTTGATCCTTCAGCTTTAGCCTTCCAAGTAGCTGGAACTACAGGCATGTGCTACCACCCTCGGCTAATTTTTTTGATTTATTTTAGAGACGAGTTCTCACCAAGTTACCCAGGCTGATCTCAGGCCCCTGGGGTCAGGCAGTCCTCTTGCCTTGGCCTCCCAAAGTGCTAGGATTACAGGCTTGAGCCACTGTGCCCTGCCTCTGGCTAATTTTTTAATTTATTGTAGAGACGAGGTCTCACCAAGTTGCCCAGGCTAGTCTCAGACCCATGGGCTCAGGCAATCCTCTCGCCTCCACCTCTCAAAAGTGCTGGGATTATAGGTGTAAACCATTGCATCTGGCTTGTTTTGTTGTTGTTGTTGTGGTTGTTGTTAGAAGAAAATGCTGGAGTTTTTAAACAGTGTTGAGAAAATAAACAAGGCTCATACATTTTACAAGCAAACTGTAACATAAGGAATGCAAACAGAGATTCTTCTTATCAGAGTTACTCATTGATTTTGATTTTTGTACACTTGTCACAAGCCTCAGATTGTTTTACTCTGAATCAATTGAAAGTGCCCTCAGCTAGCCATTTATAATCCCCATGGATGTCAGTTGTATCTACAAACATAGGATTGCAATTTGTTCTGCATAGCTCTTTAATAAATTTATTTGATAATGGTTTTTGTTTAGAAGAACAGAAGTCTTAGCCAGGCGTGGTAGCGCGCGCCTGTAGTTCCAGCTACTTGGAAGGCTGAAGTGGAAGGATCGCCTGAGCCCAGCAGGTCGAGACTGCAGTGGCCGGGTGCGTGCCACTGCACTCCAGTCTGGGTGACAGAGTGAGACTCCAACTCAAAAAAAAAGAATAGAAGTCTTGTGTTCTTACTTCCCTCAGGATGCTCAAAGGAACACAAGTCCATGAAACTGTAGATTCACATTAAGTGCTGAGTTTTGACTTTCAGAATGACTGACAATTGCCTCTGCTTTCTCCTCTACATAAGCCCAGGAACTAGACTCACCAAGCATTTCTTTCCTTTAATGAAAAATACAGTACAGGATCCTCATAAATGCTTTCATATGGTTTTAAACTTTAATCATTTGGATTGTAGGCAGTGTAGGAAAAACAGCTTAGCATTTATGTAGTATTATATTAGGATGAGTAGAAAATCGGCAGTTTTATGAAATTATCCTTGAATTTGACTGTTTTTCTTTTTTCCTTTTTTTTAAAGCAGGATTTATCAAAAGGACAGAAAGGCTCCCACAGCAGGAGGTAATCCGAAGGGGTTGCCTGAATTTGACTGTTTTTCTAATGCACTTGGTTGCCCACTTGGAAATCAAATTGTTGTTGTTGCTTTTGTTGGAGTCTCACTCTCTCACCCAGTCTGGAGAGTAGTGGCATGCTCACAGCTCCCCACAGCCTCAGCTTCCTGGGCTCAGGTGATCCTTCTGCCTCAGCTTCCCCAGTAGCTGGGACTACAGCATGCACCACCATGCCTGGCTAATTTATTTTATTTTATTTGTAGAGATAAGGTCTTGCTGTGTTGCCTAGGCTGCTCTTGAACTCCTGGGCTCAAGCAGTCCACTTGCTTTGGCCTCCCAAAGTGCTGGGATTATAGGTGTGAGCCACCGTGCCTTACTGATATCAATTTTTTAATTAAGCAACATGAGGATATCAGAATTTTGAGTCTGAGAAAACATTTTTGCCGGGTGTGGTGACTCATGCCTGTAGTCCCAGCAGTTTGGGAGGTGAAGGCGAGGGGATTGCCTGAGCCCAGGGATTTGAGATCAGCTTGGGCAACTTGGCGAGACCTCGTCTCTAAAATAAATCAAAAAATTAACTGGGCATGGTGGCTCGCACCTGTAGTTCCAGCTACCTGGAAGGCTGAGGTGGAAGGATCGCCTAAACCCAGAAGGCTGAGGCTGTGGTGGCCACAAGGTGCCACTGCACTTCAGACTAGGCAACAGAGTGAGACTCTGACTCAAAAAAAAGAAAAACATATTTTTCATTTTTGAATTCATATGTCATTCAAGAGTCCATGTTGTAAATGGAATGGAAAAACAAATGTATTACCTGCTTCAAATCATTTATGGATATAAGCAAGGTATGATTATTCTGTGTGTTTGTATATACTTTTGTAATGTAGGCTCTCTACATTATATAGTCCTATTCAAGTCTTACTTTAAAAAATAAGTCTGTGACAAACTGTGTATCACTGCTATAGACAAGGAAAATGGTGTCACAAAGTTGAATATCTTAGTCATCAGAGCTTGTGACCAGAAATATGTAGTGTACTCTAATTTTAATAAGCTAATAATTACCTTTTGAAGTTTTGAAAAGGATTTATTCAGACATGGAACAAAGTGATGTATTGTTTGTATGTTGTACACACAGGAAATGTATGTTTGTCATGTATGAAAAATGGTCTCAGTTTATCTGTAATTATGTTTGTAATAATAATAATAAAACTTAGCTTCTCGTCAAGGCAGTCATTTTTATTTAATGAGCTCAATTCTCAAGCCTAACATTTGTATTAATTCCCAACAAGTTTGTGGAGAAATTATACCTGTTATGCTAATGAATCTGTTGAAGAAAATCAAATCACCTGCTGGGACATACCTTGCCACATTTTGCAGGAGGTGTCAGGCAGAGTCTCAGAGCAATTTCCATTGTGATGTTTTATTCATTGTCCAGTAAAGTTACACCCATAGAACTCAAGAACTCAAGTCACTGCCTTTCACTCTCATTCATTATTAGCCATGACAGAATGCCTGTCCTTTACCAGAGGATTACTCATACAAGATGCCAGGAAAGCCTATAGGCTTCTTGGAAGTAAGATTCAATTATTAGGGCCACATTTGTGTGCCGCCTTAGTTAATGGAAACCTTGCTGGCTTCAATGAAATCTTTCCACTTAAGAGGTCTGAGAGAGCAACTCTGTTGTCTCACTGCTAAAGTTCCCAAGTGTGCCTTGTAGACTTTGAGTCACACAAACTGGCCACTGAGGTGGCAAAAATGCCTGGATTTTGGAAACTGGGGTGGCAGGGAGGAGTAATGAATTGACAGCTGTAGTTTTTCTTGTAAACTGCTTCTTTTTTCTTTTTGTTTTTTGAGTTGGAGTCTCACTCTGTTGCCCAGGCTGGAGTCCAGTGGCACACTCATGGCCACCGCAGCCTGGATCTGCCAGGCTCAGGCAATCCTTCCGCCTCAGCCTTCCAAGTGGCTGAAAATGCAGGCATGAGCCACCACACCCGGCTAATTTTTTTTTTTTTTTTTAATTTATTGTAGAGATGAAGTCTCTTCAAGTTGTCCAGGCTGGTCTCGAACCTATGGGCTCAGGCAGTCCTCACACCTCAGCCTCCCAAAGTGCTGGGATTATAGGTGCGAGCCACCACGCCCAGCCTTTGTAAACTACTTCTAGGAGGGCTAACAAAATGGAGGTCCTGTTACATGAATTCTATTTTATTTTGTTTTATTGATTTTATTTTATTTTATTTTTGAGTTGGAGTCTCACTCTGTTGCCCAGACTGGAGTGCAGTGGCCGCTCCCAGCCACCGCAGCCTTGACCTGCTGGGCTCCGGCGGTCCTTCCACCTCAGCCTTCTGAGTAGCTGGAACTACAGGTGCGCGCTACCACACCCGGCTAATTTTTTTATTTATTGTAGAGATGATGTCTCGCCAAGTTGCCCAGGCTGGTCTCGAACCTGCGGGCACAGGCAATCCACTCACCTCAGCCTCCCAAAGCGCGGGATTACAGGCTGAGCCACTGAGCCCGGCTTGTTACATGAATTCTAAGTGAATGTCCCAAGGTTCCTATTTCTGGATGTCCCCAGCCTGTCACAATAAGATTGGAACTTTAGACAAGCACCCTGACATATCTGCATATTTAGTGTCCTCGAAGTCTCATACACATACCTGAGGGCTGAGAGCATGAACTTTGAAACTAACAGTCTTGGGAGTGAGCCTAGCTATGCCATAAGCTACCAAGTGACTAAACTCTAAGCTTTCCCCTGTGTGTCAATATAGGGATACTCCAGCCGGGCTTGGTGGCTCAGCCTGTACTCCCGCGCCTTTGGGAGGCTG